ATATCCCTGCCATATGAATGATCAAATTTGAACTTTTATGAAAAGGGACAAATCAACAGCATCATTGTTTAGAGAAAACGGCATTAGATTTGGAAGCATTTAAGCCTGCGTTCCAATCTAGCCCTTTGAACCACTGGCAAATTCGTTATCACACTAAGCTGTGGCTCTGCATCTGTTCAAAGGGAGACAGCATCTCCTCTGATGATAACTAAGTCAAATCATGTAGGTAAATGCTGCTAGCACAGTTGATTAGGTAATTCACAAATATTAAGTCCATTTACTTCCTTCCTTTGAAAATGACTAAAAAAGACATTAGTTAACAACTTCGTAAAATATATTGTTGCTGTTGTTAGCTGTCATTAAGTCAGCCCCCAACTAATAATGAGCTCACGCACAAAGAGATCAGATTGATGTGAACCATAGGATTTTTATTGGCTAATTTTCAGAAGCAGATCACCAGGCCTTTCTTCCTAGTCTGTCTCAGTCTGGATGCTCCACTGAAACCTGTTCAGCATTATAGCAACATGTAAGCCTCCACTGACAGACAGGTGGTGGCTACACGTAAGGTGTACTACCCTATCTACCCAATCCTGTCGATTCCAATTCACAGCGATCCTATAGGACAGAGTGGAACTGCCCCATAGGGTCTCGAAGGCTGTAAATCTTTAGGGAAGCAAACTGCCACATCGTTCTCCCATGGAGCGGCTGGTGGGTTCGAACCACAGACCTTTCCGTTAGCAGCCAAGCGCTTAACCACTGCACCACCAGGGCATGAGGTGTAATGGTCAGGAATCAAACCTTGGTCCCCTGAATGGAAGGTGAGAAAGTTCTACCACTGAACCACCACTCCCCTCTCATAAAATATACAAAATACCTAAAATATGCAAAATATCTAAGGTGACCCACGCTTTGTGAAAGCAGAAAAGTGCTTAGCTAGAGACCATTTTTGCCTCTAGCCCATGGAAGTGTGATCTCCTCTAGCAGTCCTCCTTGCCTATCTGCCAGAACCTTAGGAAGCCTTTATTTTCCTTTGTCCCTCACTGCGAATGCACAGCAAAGTTTTCTTCTCCCCTCTTGAGTACCAGTGGGCTCCGTTCACACTCTGATGTGCACACAAGACCTAATTCAGACTTAAACTATTCCTTCTCCGCAGGGAGGTGACAACAGGAGTGTGGTACCTGCAGTAAACATGCATGCTGAAAATGCCACAAGCACTGGATATTAAAGCTCAGAAGCAGATGGCTTGGTAAGGTCAGAAATAATTGCATGCAAAGCCTTCAGTGTCTAATAAGCATTTGCAAAGAATTGTTGAGAGAAGCATTCTAAAGGGATATAGCTCATCAGCTGACCAGACCAGATTATTTTTGAGGCTTGTCCATAAGGAAAGCCTGCATCTTCCTTTATAACTTCTTCAGCCACAAGGACGTTGCTAAATACCCTGCAGAATAATACAGTAAAATCTGTGAAAGTCAGAACCCGTGTAAGGCGGAAAGCTGTCAGAGAAAGAAAACTCAAATATTTCCCACTAAAACGAGAAACAGACAAGTGTGAAGACTGCACCCTGTCAAAGGAGGAAAACTTATGAAACCTGGAAAAACAAGGCAGCCTCTTTGGGTTCTGGCTCTCACAGGTTTCACTGTCATACCCTTGTGGTATGGATTGAATTGTGTCCCCCAGAATACGTGTTGTAAATCCTAATCCTTATACCTGTGGGTGTAATCCCATCCGGGAATAGGGTTTTCTTTGTTACATTTATGAGGCCCTGTCAGTGTAAGGTGTTATCTTCAGCCAATCACTTTTGGGATAGAAAAGAGGCAGATTAGGCACTGAAGCAAACAAGCGCAAATGGGGAAAGAAGGATGCCACGGGAGATTACCCAGGAACTGCGGAAGGGAAGTCGAAAGAGACAAGAATCTCCCCCCAGAGGGAGCAGAGAGAGCCTTCCGCTAGAGCTGGTGCCCTGCTTCAGACTTCTAGCCTCCTAAACTGTGAGAAAATAACTTGCTGTTTGTTAAACCCACCCACTTGTGGTATTTCTGTTACAGCAGCACTAGATAACTTAAGACACCTTGCTTGCTTGTGGTCTAGAAAAACTTAATCTTTCAAATTTAATTTCAACAAATGCAGCAGAAAGCACTCTGTTCAAAGTGTGATGCTCACAGCAATAGAGGAAGATGCTGATGAGGCCAGTCTCAGCCCACGGCAGGGTGGTGGGGGGGAGGTGAAGGGGGGTTCGGGGGGGGATGAAGGGGGGGTCGGGGGGAGATGAAGGGGGTGGGGGGGCGGAGGGAAGCACATGCACAGTTTAAATAATGCTGTAGCATGAGCCATAATTGGGAGATAAACAAGCGATTCCACTACCATCCCCATAAATTAGATATAATTCTATTGAACCATTTAAAATTCCCTGACTGTTGTGTACAATGTTTTCTGCTAAGTCCCCAATAATACTCCCTAATGTAAGTACCCAGAACCTACTACTGTTGAGTCAACTCCAACTCATAGCAACCCCATAGGGTTTCCAAGGCTGTAAATCTTTATGGGAACAGATTGCCACATCTTTCTCCCAAAGAGGAAGTGGTGGATTTGAACCACCAACCTTTTGGTTAGCAGCTGAGCACTAAACCACTGCACCACCGAGCCTCCTTTCTAATGTAAAGAGACATCTTAACAACAAAATTTCTTTATATGTAAAATGGTATGCCATAGGTTTTTCTGAAGAGACAATTCCAAACTACAAAAACAAATGATGTACTGAAAACAACATTTCCTAAAATATGTGTTGCATAACTAAAGTTCCACAGGACACTAGGCACTATGCAAAAGGACGGAAGGGAAGGAGGAAGGGAGAGAGAGAGAGAGAGAGGGAGAGAGGGAGAGAGGGAGAGAGGGAGAGAGTGGGAGAGAGGGAAGAAGGGAGGGAGAGAGGGAGGAAAGGAGGGAGAGAGTGAGAAATGAGATCCGGAAAGGGGAGGGGGAAAGAGAAAGAGAAAAGTAGGTAGGTGGGGCAGGGGAGAGGTGTCCTGTGGGCAAATAATTTTGAGGAAACACAAGTTAAGCAAAATTAACAAGGCTTTTTTTTTTTTTTTTAACTGCAGGATGTTTTTAGAACCTTTAATAGGCAATTATGTACTGTAACTCTCTAATAAGTAAATCTGATAGAGAGCATTTCCCAAACTTATTTTTTTTCTCAAGCATTCTCAAGACTCAGGTACTACAGAACACCAGTTTGGGAAATGCTGACCTGAAATGTTACCACAATACATTGTCTTTCAAAAGTTACAACAAATAAGCATTCTAAGCCTACAGATGGAAGAAGACTTGGTTCACACAGACAAACAGAGCAGAGGAATCTCTCAACTGAGGTCAGCAACTTAGAGTTCTTTAGCCTTGGCAACTCCAACAGCTTTCCCCATAGTAACTATTGCTGGGTATAATCATTAAAAAGCAATTAGAACACAATTGCATATGGTTCTCTTTTGGATACAGATCATGCAATGTATTCTCGAGGCCAATTTTTCCTTTTAATCTGGTGCATCTGTGCAAAATAACTTGGAATCTGAATCTATAGCGAACAGACCACTAGCTAATTCAGTTAAAACAACCAATCCAATCACTGGGGAAGTAAAATGACTTTTTTTAAGGCTGAATCTACCAATAGGGGGATTTAACACAGTCGGTACCATTGAAGCATATACAAATAAGATAAACATGTTTGCTCACTTTAGAAAGGCAAACCGAAAGCAGTCTGTGCAAATGCCAGATGGCGGTCACGCTTTTACAACTGAATGACTTTGGTTTCTAGGCCCCTGAAGAGGATCGCTGGCCGTGCAGACAAACCCCAGGCCGCTGTCACTTACTGCAGTGAGCCTCATCGCTCCAGTCATCACAGTCGTTGTAGCCGTTACACTGCAGTTTCTTGGGGACACAGATGCCACTGGCACACAAAAAGTTCTCGTCCGCTCTGCAGAACACTACAGGAAAGGGCAGAAAAACAACATCAGAATATGGTTGTGTTTTTGTTTGTTTGTTTTCAGAATCGAAGAAAGAAATAAACAGCAAAAAGAAAAGCTTCCCTTGCTATTGAGCAGATTTATTTCCAAACTACCTCGGTTTCACAGTTACCCATTTTTCTTTGGCACGCTTGAATATTCATCCTGCAATTACCTAGATCTCATACAGAGCGCTTGCCTGAGGAAAGCAAGGGAAAATTCACCAGTGGGCTTGTACTTGCAGAGGGAGGCAACCACTGTTTGGAGCACAAGAGAGTGGCCTCAGAAACTGCACAACTTATTTGGGGGATATTTTCCTTAATAACAGAAAATGATTTCAAAATGAAGTGCTATTCATTGAACAAGCATCAGAGAAAAGTCTCCTTCTAAAACAGGACTCTATGATGGGCAGAGAAAGTTACAGTAAAAACTGAGTCAATCAATTGATGCAAACTGGAACACGGGCATAGAGACCCCGTATTTGGAATATTTACTTGCCTTAATCAAATTGCCAGCTGAAATGTCAGAGCCTATTTTGACGACGAGCAATGTGTAATGATATTGGCTGATAATATTTTTGTTCTTTTCCTTAACTCAGTTGCATTTTGGTATTCTTTGCTTTTGGTATTACGTTGCTCTTTTTCTTCTCAAAATTCAACAAACACTCAAATGTTTCAGAATTACAGTAGACAACAAATTTAAGACAAAAGCCAGAAAGCTTTTTAAGGGAAATCATTAACAAAAGAATGAATCAGTTCAATACAGTGGGTGTTAAAATAAGCTTAAATATTTGGTAATACGCGTCAAATGCCTTTTGAATGTGCATTACCTTTGACTTGGCAATCTTATTTCTTGGATTTCGTATACCAGAAATCTGATTAATAAGTGAAAGTTTTATTTTTAAGACTATTCATACTTTCATTGTTTATAGTGAGGAAACCACAACATAACAGTTGTGCAATAGTAGGGGTCTGGTTAAACAAATTTTGGCACTTCCATAATAAGGAATACTGTTATGGCCATTGAAAAGTATTTTGTAGAAAATATATAATATCGTGGGACAAAGTTTAAGATAATTTAAGTGGGAAAATACCAACAGGTTCTTAAAAAGGCATGATAGCATTTACTGGAAATAAATATATGAGGTTACTTGTAATTATCTTTGGTACTAGGATTAAAGGTAAATATTTTCTTCATTATACTCGGTATTTTACAAATGTTCTTACAATGATCATGTCTCACTTTTCTAGTCAGAAATAGGAAAAAAAACATGCTTTTTTCCATGGGTCTTCAATTCCCTTTTTGGAGTAATAGAAAATAAATAAACCATGCCAGTTGCCATCAAGTCAATTCCAACTCATGGCAACCCCATGTGCATCAGTTTAGAACTATGACCTATAGGGTTTTCAATGGCTAATTTTTTGGAAGTAGATCTCCAGGGCTTTCTTTTGAGGTGTCTCTGTGTAGACTCGAACCTGCAACCTTTTGGTTAGCAGCTGATTGAGTTAACCATTTACACCAGAAGATAAATACCAATCTTCCTTCCTCCCTCCCCCCCAACCTGCCTCTGCAAAGGCAGCGTGTGCATGGATCAGCTGTGTGGTTGTCTGGTCATTGCCGCCATTCCTTGAACCATGTATTCCTCGATGAGACGACCCTTTCTGGCTAGCCAACGTAAACTAGGAAATGGCAGACAGTTTAACTCAGAATTAGAAATACAGAAAAACGCAGACCTAAAGCTCCAAGTAGTACGGCCCATATTTCATTCACCACCACGTTCCTGGGGGGAAGCAGAGGGACTGTCACTTGGGAGGTCTTTAATATTTAATGGAAAAAGGTCACCTAAATCTGTAATGAAGCACAATATATTGACACAAAGTGAAGGAAAAAAATGTAATCAACGGGCTAGTCTCCAATGCTATCGAGGAAACCAGAGTGTGGAACACTAGGTGCTACTGTAGTTGATTTGGTAAGTTTCTCATGACGCTCCATCACACGCAAGCTTCATGCTATCAGCATCAAAGCTCTGATTGTCAATGACATCCTGCAATTTCACTATCAATACCAGTTGCGTCCATGGGTATTAACTGCCAAAATATTTAACATGTTTATCGTGTACAGTGTTGGAGGATTCAGCATAGAACAAACACAGACTCCTAAAAGGTACCCAGGAAACAAGATACAAGATGAAAAACCAAAACACTAAGATTTTACTGTCTGTACAATATCCTCTCTCTAAGGTTAAGAAAATTTTAAAGGCATAAGCGTTTACCCTGTTGTTTCTGTATTGTACTAGGACATGCAGAAATTCCATAGGTCTGCATTTCAGCAGCTGCGATGCCTCAGAAGAATTATCACATTCCCCACCTCATGGCTCTGATGATTCCTCAGGAAATGTAGCTGAAAGCTCAACATTAAATAGCTTCTAACATCTAGGTTTCATCTTTAAGACCCTATATATTTTACTCTAGTAAAGCCATTTCTGGTGTATGGTCATATTGAATCTGGATTGAATTTAAAACCCAGCACTGCCTGCATTGTTTTGATTACTGATATCCCCCGACTTGGCTGATTCAGCATTAACTGAGTTCTTTTGTTTGGTTCCTCAGTTGGCTGTGTGGCTGCCTTTGATTTTAGGACAATAAGGTTTTTCTCCTCTTGATTGCAAATTGTTTCTTTATTCTTATTCTTTCTTTGAAAGTTCATAGTTTCATTAATCGTTATTTTCATAAAATTGGGATCGCTTTTGTATAATCTCTTTCTGTTTGACTTCTTAGGCTGTATGCAGATTTTCAACTTTTATTTGTGTAGAACTGTTCAATTAACAAAGTCCTTCAAATGGATCTGATTTGATATTCCTTAACAGCCCCAGGAGTCGGAACTGACTCAACAGCACACAACAACAACCGCCCCATAAGGATTCCCAGTGGTGCAGTGGTTAAGCGCTTGGCTACTAACTGAAAGGTTGGCAGTCTGAACCCACGAGTTGCTCTGCGGGAGAAAGACGTGGCAATTTGCTTCCATAAATATTACAACAAAACAACCAAACCCACCGCAGTCAAGAGACCCTGTAGGACAGAGTAGAACCACTTATAGGGTTTCCAAGGCTGAAATATTTACAGAAGCCCACCCATCTGTTAATGGAGATTTGTGTGTTGCTATGATGCTAAACAGGTTTCAGGGGAGCTTCCAGACTGATATGGACTAGGAAGAAAGGCCCGTAGAGCTACTTCTAAAAATCATACAATGAAAACTCAACGGATCACAATAGTCTGATAGTTAGCATTTCATTCTATTGTGCGTGGGGTCACTATGAGGTGGGGGCCGACTTGATGGCAGCTAACAACAACATAGTCAGGTAACACAATGCAGTTTGTCCTGCCTTCTAAAGAAGCTGAGTCATATTAATGCGAGCGCCCTCCATTTTGTTTAACATTAAGATGCCTTGGGTAGGCATTGTTGGGAGTTAGAAAGCTCTGTGTACAAAGACAGTCACCTGGTCAGTCCTTCTTGTTGACAGTCTTCCTCTTTTTTGCTGATACTCTACTTTACTAAGCATGATGTCCTTCCCCAGGGATTGGTCCCTCCTGATAACATGTCCAAAGTAAGCGAGACAAAGCCTTCCCATCCTTACTTCTGAGGAGCGTTCTGGCTGTACTTCTTCCAACACAGATGCATTTGTTCTTCTGGAAGTCCATGGTATAGTCAATAAATATACCACAAAGACAAGGTGAAACCAGTTCCCTTAACTATGGTCTTAGTTATCTAGTGCTGATATAACAAAAATACCACAAGTGGATTCTGCGTCTTTTCCAAGCAAGTGAGCACTGGTCCCTACTACATGAGGGACATGCAAAAACTCAGTCCCCTTCCAAGCTTTAAAAAACCTGTTGCTGTCGAGTCAGTTACAACTCATAGTGACCCTATAGGACAGAGCAGAACTGCCCCATAAGGTTTCCAAGGAGAAATTTATTCTCTCTAGACATCTGAATTCAGTGGGCCGTCTCCAGGGGAAGGCTTTCTCTCTGTGTGGGCTCTGGGGGAAGGTCCATGTCATCAGTCTTCCCCTGGGTCTATGAGTTTCTCAGCACAGGAACCCTGGGTCCAAAGGACATGCTCCACTTTCGGCTCTTCTTTCTTGGTGGTAGGATGTCCCTCTTTTTCTACTCTTTCTCTCTCCTTTTATCTCTTGTAAGATAAAAGGTGATACAGGCCACATCCCAGGGAAACTTCCCTTACATCGAATCAAGGCTGTGAACTGAGTAAGGGTGTTGCATCCCACCCTAACCCTGCCTCATTAACATAACAGAAAGCTTGCTCCCAAACGGGACCATAACCACAGGCATAAACACCAAAAACCTGTTGCCGTCGAGGCAATTCTGACTCAGCGACCCTATAGGACAGAGTAGAACTTCGCTATAGAGTTTCCAAGGAGCACCTGGTGGATTCCAACTGCTGACCGTTTCTCTTAACCACTACGCCACCAGGGTTTCCAAAAGCGCAGGCATAGAGGCTAAAATTTACAACACATAACAAAAGGGAGGATAATCAGATCACAAAATGAAGGACAACCATACAATACTGGAATTATGGCCTAGTCAAGTTGACACATATTTTTGGAGAACACATTTCAATCCAAGACAACTATTTACCAGTTTTACCAGCTGCCGTCAAATTGACTCCAGCTGATGGCAACCATATATGTTTTAGAGTAACTGCACTCAGTAGGGTTTTTAATGGTTGATTTTTTTGGAGATAGATCACCAGGGTTTTCTTCTGAGGTGCGTCTAGGTGGACTTGAACTTCCAGCTTTCCGGTTAGCAGCCAAGTACATTAACCATTTGCACCACTCAAGGACTCCCCCTTCACTAGAACACAACTCTACTTCAGAGTCCGTCAGTGTCTATTATCTAACAAGTTTTAATTAGTAGGAAACCATCTCTGTCAAACAAATGTTCAAAGAAAATCCAAAACAACTCCTT